ATGGAAACGGATAATGAACAAATTCGAGAGGATGAGGTTATGAGATATATAAAGCTAATATTAAGGATATAACTTGACGTGGTTACCAAACATATTTTTAGTTTTTATTATCATAATTTTACAAACACAAATGACTTCCAAACATATTTTTTTGTTTTCGGTGTTTACCACAAAACAAAATAAAAATTATTTTTGCTTTTGATTTTTTTGAAAACACAAAAACAAAAACATTGTCAAATGACCCCTATTTTTTAAATGGAATAGTGGTAGTTGTTGGATGAATTTATTTGAGACCATAGGATAAACTTGTTAAAGCCGCCCTGTTAATATAAATTATAGATTCACTTCTCATTTTCATCTCACTCGCCCAATACGTCTCTGTCCAAGGATTGAAATGTCGTGTTGAAACGTCTGAAACGTTTAAAAATTTCAACACGCCGACACGAAATGTGGGATGAATCCCAAAATTCCAATGTTTCAGTCGAAAAGTCACTGTGTCGGACTGTTTTAGTCGAAACAGTACCATTTTGACGAAACAGTACTGTGATTCGCTTCACTTCAGGCCAAAAAAAAAAAAAAAGAAACTCTCAAAAATCACATGTCCTCCAAGCCAAAAAAAAAAAGGTAAGGGGGAAATAGAGATCACAAAAAATCACATGTCCATGTTCAGTTGTTCAGGTCTTCCAATCAAAACAGAGAAAAGAGATAGAGAAAGACACATATAGACTATAAACCAAAAATCGAAGGAGAAAATTTTAGTAACTTACCTTCTTGAGTCAAGATTTGAGCAGATTTAACTATTTGTCACGCAGATCTAGGGTTTGAGAGTTGGGAGTCTCGTCTTCGTCACTACGAGCTGTGACCACGAGGTATCAACCACTAGGTACGTTCTTATTCTTCTTCTTGTCTCCCTTTTTCTCTTCGGCATCGCCATCACCTCTCGCCTCTTCTCTTTGCTTGTGTTCGTTCGTGGGTCACGAGACTCACGACTGTGCAGAGTTTGCCTTATATATATATAAGTTTAAATAATTATATTTAATACTCCACTGCATTATAACTTTTTTACTTTTAAGTATACATAAGTACCATTAATTTAATTTGATACCCTTCATTATTTTTTTTGTTACAAGTATGAATAATTACATTTAATACTCCACTACATTATAACTTTTTATTTTTAAGTATACATAAGTACCATTAATTTAATTTGATACCCTTCATTATTTTTTTTCTTTGTTAAGTATGAACAATTACATTTAATACCCCAATGTATTATAACTTTTTACTTTTAAGTATACATAAGTACCATTAATTTAAGGGTTAATTACACTAAAAGTTTTCAAAGTATGGAGTTTGTCTTATTTTGGTCTCAAATGTTTCAATTGCATCATTTTGGTTCCTGAAAATATTGAATATGTTTTTATATGGTCCCTCATGCAGACAGTGTCTAGATTGTTAACGATTTTTTATCATAAAGTTGTCACATGATACTTAAGTATGGATAAAAAAAAATAATTTGGATAACTCTTGACCAAATTTTTACTCAAATTTTGGTTAAATACCTACCTAAATTACACAATTTTGATCACGAGCTATTCAAAATTTGGTCAAAAGCTACCCATATTACACATTTTTTTATTAAAAGCAACCCAAATTTTGTTTAAGAGCTATCAAAATTATTTTTTATCCATATTTAGCTATTACATGACAAGTTTATGATAAAAAATCGTTATCAATTTAGACATTGTTTGCTTAAAAGACCATATAGAAACATATTCAATACTTTAAGGAGCAAAATGATGCAATTAAAACATTGGGGACCAAAATGAGACAAACCTCAAACTTTGGGACCTCTAGTGCAATTAACCCTTAATTTAATTTGATACCCTTTATTATTTTTTTTCCTTTTTGTAATTATTCTTTTATGCTATTATTATTTGTTAAATAGACATATTAAATAACTGCAAGTCATTTTATTAATTGTAACTTTTTTTTAAATATGTAGAATTAAGTATTTTTGTGTGTACAAATTGCAGACTATCAGAGGTTTGGGAGAAAGTATAATTCATATTATCGTCATAATATGAGTTAAAATAATTATTGTCATCATATTTATGCCATACATGAAGTTTCTCTACGTAACTATCCAGAGCCTACACTGATGTATGAATCTGCTCGACACTCCACAGGGGGATGAATGTGGCCATATAAGTATATTCTCATCAGCATTTTATGTGTATTATAAGACTTTAACATTATGTATAAATGTGTTTACTTGATAAAAATTAAGTGTTGGAAACTAATTTAAGTGATTTTTATCTCATGTCAAACATTTTTTTTCCTCAAATTTAAATTTATTCTTGTATAAATGGATGATAACATAATAAATATGTTATATTATTTAATTATTTAATTTATCTCTATAAATAAATTTACTCAACGCACTTGTTTGTTAACGTTTTTATTTTTTATTTTTGTTTTGACATTTGGAGGAAGTAAGAAAAAAAAATTCGTTTAATAATTATTTTTGTTTTTTTTTTATTGCAACCGTTTTGAAAACTGGCCCATTTTTTAAAACGCTAAAGAGTGGTGTTTAAAAACGGAAGAAAACGGAAACGTGCGATCACAATTATTGAGCTTTCGCCTTCAACTCCTGCTAGCAACACAATCTGTCCCATTTGTGTCCAACTATAAAAAAGCAATTTTCTGCCTTTTCTTCTCATCTCATGTTGAACGAGCCACGACTTCTCTTATTTTTTCTGCGTTTCCACTGCACTTCGATCCTTGCCTCTGCCAAATCACTGTCAATTGTGTCGGTTAGTTATCTCATCTCGCCCTCTCATCTAAACCAGGGTAAAAACTAGGGGTATAGGGTTTTGCACNTACATAAGTACCATTAATTTAATTTGATACCCTTCATTATTTTTTTTGTTACAAGTATGAATAATTACATTTAATACTCCACTACATTATAACTTTTTATTTTTAAGTATACATAAGTACCATTAATTTAATTTGATACCCTTCATTATTTTTTTTCTTTGTTAAGTATGAACAATTACATTTAATACCCCAATGTATTATAACTTTTTACTTTTAAGTATACATAAGTACCATTAATTTAAGGGTTAATTACACTAAAAGTTTTCAAAGTATGGAGTTTGTCTTATTTTGGTCTCAAATGTTTCAATTGCATCATTTTGGTTCCTGAAAATATTGAATATGTTTTTATATGGTCCCTCATGCAGACAGTGTCTAGATTGTTAACGATTTTTTATCATAAAGTTGTCACATGATACTTAAGTATGGATAAAAAAAAATAATTTGGATAACTCTTGACCAAATTTTTACTCAAATTTTGGTTAAATACCTACCTAAATTACACAATTTTGATCACGAGCTATTCAAAATTTGGTCAAAAGCTACCCATATTACACATTTTTTTATTAAAAGCAACCCAAATTTTGTTTAAGAGCTATCAAAATTATTTTTTATCCATATTTAGCTATTACATGACAAGTTTATGATAAAAAATCGTTATCAATTTGGACATTGTTTGCTTAAATGACCATATAGAAACATATTCAATACTTTAAGGAGCAAAATGATGCAATTGAAACATTGGGGACCAAAATGAGACAAACCTCAAACTTTGGGACCTCTAGTGCAATTAACCCTTAATTTAATTTGATACCCTTTATTATTTTTTTTCCTTTTTGTAATTATTCTTTTATGATATTATTATTTGTTAAATAGACATATTAAATAACTGCAAGTCATTTTATTAATTGTAACTTTTTTTTAAATATGTAGAATTAAGTATTTTTGTGTGTACAAATTGCAGACTATCAGAGGTTTGGGAGAAAGTATAATTCATATTATCGTCATAATATGAGTTAAAATAATTATTGTCATCATATTTATGCCATACATGAAGTTTCTCTACGTAACTATCCAGAGCCTACACTGATGTATGAATCTGCTCGACACTCCACAGGGGGATGAATGTGGCCATATAAGTATATTCTCATCAGCATTTTATGTGTATTATAAGATTTTAACATTATGTATAAATGTGTTTACTTGATAAAAATTAAGTGTTGGAAACTAATTTAAGTGATTTTTATCTCATGTCAAACATTTTTTTTTCTCAAATTTAAATTTATTCTTGTATAAATGGATGATAACATAATAAATATGTTATATTATTTAATTATTTAATTTATCTCTATAAATAAATTTACTCAACGCACTTGTTTGTTAACGTTTTTATTTTTTATTTTTGTTTTGACATTTGGAGGAAGTAAGAAAAAAAAAATTCGTTTAATAATTATTTTTGTTTTTTTTTTATTGCAACCGTTTTGAAAACTGGCCCATTTTTTAAAACGCTAAAGAGTGGTGTTTAAAAACGGAAGAAAACGGAAACGTGCGATCACAATTATTGAGCTTTCGCCTTCAACTCCTGCTAGCAACACAATCTGTCCCATTTGTGTCCAACTATAAAAAAGCAATTTTCTGCCTTTTCTTCTCATCTCATGTTGAACGAGCCACGACTTCTCTTATTTTTTCTGCGTTTCCACTGCACTTCGACCCTTGCCTCTGCTAAATCACTATCAATTGTGTCGGTTAGTTATCTCATCTCGCCCTCTCATCTAAACCAGGGTAAAAACTAGGGGTATAGGGTTTTGCATCGCTTGGGGAGTGCGCTGTTTGAAGTCTCTTTCGCGAGCAGTATTAGGGTTTTCTCTACGAGTTTGTGCTTATTGTTTGGCCAAAATCATTTCTCTCTCTCTGGTAGTAAAAAGTTTCTTGAATTGTATTTCAGATTGTCTTTTGTAATCTATTTGTGTGATGATTTACAGTGAATTGAGGCGAGAATCGTCGGAGTTCGTACCAAACGCTACCTACGAAGTTCAAAGTAGCGGAATAGACGGAAGAAGCCGGACTAGGAAGAGAAAATCATCTCAGTAGTGGAGCAATATCAACGCCGGTGAATCGGCATGGATGAGATTCAGATATCTCCATCCGATCCGCAGGGCAGTCCAGGTAAGGAGCAACAGGCTGCTGGAGTCGGCATCCTTCTACAGATCATGATGCTCGTTCTATCATTTGTCCTTGGCCATGTTCTACGCCGTCACAGATTTTATTATCTTCCCGAAGCCAGCGCCTCCCTCTTGATTGGTAATTTCTATACTAAATAGGGGTTGATCTAACGTCCTTCTTGCATTTCGCTTTTTTGTTTCCAATTTTGGTTTCATTCATCCATTTGTTCATGTTCTCCGTCGACAATAGTTCTTTCATTGCCGTGACTTGTGTTCTTTCCTTGCTAAGAAACTGCTGTGACCTGTGTTCATATTATTTCTGGCAGGTTTAATTGTTGGTGGACTCGCTAACATTTCTAATACGGAAACAAACATCAGGTCTTGACATTGTTTATTGTTTTTTTCATAGAAATCTCCATTCCAAAATAAGACCTCTTCGGATTTCGCGAGAATGAGAATTGTATCCTCACGAATGGATGGCCTTTTTTTTTTTGCAGGGCTTGGTTTAACTTCCATGAGGAGTTTTTCTTTTTGTTTTTGTTGCCTCCAATCATATTATATCCTTATTCGGATTCTTTCTCTTACCAAACTCTTTTGTTAGTTTAACCTAGATATTCTAACTTGTGTTTGCTTCATTGTTAATTGGTTGCCAAAATTTGTTTCTCTTAACCTTTTTGTTTTTACTCAGTCTGGATTCAGTTTATCACCTGTAAGTTTTCATTTTTTTTCCTTTTGTTATATACTTTAATGGTAACACTCCAGTTCACATACATCTTATTTCCCACTGATTCTATATGCTTCATTGTTACAATTTTCAGAAACCATTTTTTTCGAACTTTGGGGCCATTGTCACATTTGCTATTTTGGGGACTTTTATAGCTTCAATTGTTACAGGTGTTTTGGTGTGAGTATCAATTCACAATTATCATTATTTCCTGCAATTAGTAGAGTATTTTTTATGCCACGCTAAGTTCGTTCCTTTTGATGTATATTGCTGCAGTTACCTTGGCGGGCTGATGTTTCTCATGTACAGACTTCCATTTGTTGAATGCTTGATGTTTGGTGCTCTTATATCTGCAACCGATCCTGTAACTGTTCTGTCCATATTTCAGGTGATCCCATGCCCTCTCTTTATCCATAACGGTTTGATTAATTTACCATGGATTTAGTATTGTTTTATGTTAAATACTAATTTGGTGAACAACCAATCAGGTGTCCATAAAACCTTGTTTCATTTGTGTGTGTAATTCTATAGAACCCATTCAAGGGTTAATACTTGATTGGTTTATACCACATGTTGAATGTAGTATTTCCGATTAATGAATTACACTGCCCATCTATCCTCTCTTATTGGGTTGATGAATTACACTACCTTAGCATTTTTTGGGGTAGGTTGACAAACATCTACTTTTTGAAGTACTAGCAATGCACAAAGTGTTATGTGAACATATTTAAATAATTCTTTTTTAATAAAGAATTTAAATTATATTTTTAATTATGTTGAATAAAAAATTATATGTCGAATAATTCATTCTTCTTTTAATTATTGATCAATTTTACCCATCTTTGAGTACTTAATCTATTAGTTTTTTTAGGTATCTCTTTGGCCCCTTTAGACATTTTTTCTTTTGTTCATAATAGAACTTAATTGTAAGATTATCATTCTTGAGTATTTGACATCTAATTATATTATTGATTTGTTATATTTTTTGCCAAAGACATTGCTTAGATTGTAATACTATTTTTTGTATCATAATATTATGATATTGTTACATACAAAAAAATTTAAATATGGCATATATTTTATTGTAGAATTTAATGTGACAACCATATATTAATATATGTATATAATAGAATATAGATTGAATTTTACTTGTTCATATAAATACAAATATAAATATAGAAAATTGTATGCAAGTGTACTACTAATAAATAAGTTCAAAAGAATTTAGAAGTCAAATATTATTATTAGTAATAAAAGAGTTCAAGAGAACTTGAACTTCAAATAGGTATTGGAAATCAAACTTATTGACTTTATAATAATGTCTAGGGATAAAAGTTTTTCATAAATGTTGACATTTATAAGTAGTATAGATATAGATAAAATAAGAAATTAGAAGTTTTTCATAGATGTTGATATTTATAAGTAATATAGATGATAATCAAAATATGAAAAATGATAAGAAATAAATCTTGTAAATTGAAACTTCCAAAACATCTCAAGTAAATAGGCATTCTTCAGTTATTGTTGATTTTTAGCACCTGTAATATAGATTTTGCCCTTTGCATAGAAGGAAGAAAATGAATAGTGATTGACAACACATAAGGGGATATATTCATATATATATTTCTGACGAGAGAGGATAAACCTCTTGATATGCTCAAAACACAGAGTACATATGCTTAGAACAAGCAGTTCTAGTATTCTTGAAAGCTTCATTCGGGTGTAAGATTCACAAGTTGCCTTTCAGTCACTTTTTTACAAAAAAAATCAAATGAATTCATAAATAAAAAAATATTTGTTTCCCGTCGTTCCAAGTTATTCTATCTTCCACTTAGAATTATATAAATTTTGTTCTTTTGAATTACGCAAATTTAGCTCAACCCGGCCCAACAAAGTTTTGTTGTTCCTTGTTAGGTTTCAGCTACATGAATCTGCCCATGTGATGAATTGCATGTCAAAAAAGTCTGCATGCAAATTTGGAAAGTTTTTCTCTTGAACTAAATGGGAGGTTGTCAACACGCACCAAAAAATTCTCATGTAAAATAATTTAAAATGACTATGAGGACCAAAACAAAAAATTAGCAATCTAAGTATTCGAGTTTCTAACATAATTCATTAATATCTCATTTCACTTTGAAAATGTTGCATGTGATCACAATGTTAATGTCCCTGTTGTATGCTTGGTTATATAATCTTTGTTGGATGTAACTAGGTGATAACCTTGAACAAATGAAGAACCTACCTCCAGGTGAAATTATTTGAGGCTCACTCATGCAGGAATTCTTAGAGTTCGTATCATTCTAGGGTTGTAGATGGTATGCTAAAATTGAAGATTTAAAGTCCTAATCGGAATAAGAGCATTAGCTTGTAGATTTTGGGACCAAGGGATAGGCAAGAGTTATTCTCAAGGAACTGATGTCACCAAGATTGGAGGAGGGCCCTAGGTATTGTTGTTGAGGGGCTCTATTAGTGTTTATGCTTTCACTCCCTCAAGGTAAATAGTACATTTCTTTTGTTGAGTTGAGTTTAGTTGGTCTTTGCCCACTCCATTATTGATGCTAGTGATGCTTGGCAAACTATGTAGGAATTATATGGATACTTCGTGTACACTTCCTCAATTGGGCAAATATACAGGTATTTCCTGCATAATATTTTATAACAAAAGAAGACTTCTATTTTTTAAAATCCTATATAGTGAAATGACGTCGTTTCATTACCTAGACTTTTTTTTACAAAAAATTACTTCCATGTAAAAACCCGTCGTTTTATTTTAAAAAATGAATTGTTTCACCCCATATCAGATGACTCTTACTACTCATCTTGTATCAGTTGTATCATATCATGAATCGCATGATCCAGTGTAAAACCAATACACTTAATGTATCAACACGTATCGTACGATACTAACAACTGTGATGGAGATTTTAAAAGCTGAGAAAACTATCTGATTATAGTTCATGCAAAGTTGTAAGCTCAGAAAATATAATTCCAGAACCTCTAGCTGAAGTTGTTTAGTAATTGTAGTGTAACTTTGACTGAGTAATCTAAATTATTTTAACATCCCCCATCTCACTTGGAATGGGCACACTGGCCAATATGGACATCCTACTTTTTGGTTTGCTCAACAAAGTTTTGTTCTACCTTGTTTGGGTTCAACTACATTAATTTGGCTAGAGATTATAATCTATTGAGGGCATTGAGTACTATGTCAACATTAGCGATCAATGGCATGTCCAGAAAGTCTGCTTGCAAATTTGGGAAAGTTTTTCTCCTAAAGTAAATGGGGATTTAAAAACTCAGGAACCTATTTGATTATAGTTTGGGCAAAGTTTTAAGCTCAAAAAATATAATTCCCGAACCTCTAGTTTAAGTTGTTTAGTTATTGTAGTATAACTTTGCCCGAGTAATCTATATCATCTTAATATCCCCTATCTGCCTTGGTATGGCCACGCTGTCCAATCCGGACATCTTACTTCTTGGTTGGCAAGGCACACCTAGTCCCCAACTACCTGCTCGTGGTGGCTAGCGCATCAACATGGAAAAAGAAGCTCTATCAGCTTGCTTTGAAGATAGGGAGATAAATTTGGTAACTATGTAGGCTAAGCAAGACTGAATCAGGATGATGTCATCCCTTACAAAAGGCTCTTTTCTTTCAAACATCAAACTGCTCAAGCCTCAAGAACCTTATACATGCCATGATCTTAAAATTCCATGGATATGAGGTTTCCACTAAAATAGGAGCCTACAGCTCGTCAACTCCAAAGGACTGCTGCAACTGATACTGCACAGGAGAAGAGGAAAAAGGAGAGAGAAAAGGAACACAAGATCAAAGGTCATAGACGACGTACTGAGATACAAACCTAGTAGCTCTGGTTTGGCTCGTTTCATATTGTAATATGAACCAAATCTGATTGACTATCTAAGCTTATTTTTAATGCGAGTTGATCTCAAGCCAAGGCCAAAGGATTTGCGAGTCCAGCCCAATTCTGAACTCCTTGTGCCTCTCTCTTATACTCTTTCCTACTATCACAAAAACATAGATTCTCTCTCTCCATGTCTCCCTCTCATTTCCTATCTGTGCTCTCTCATACGGTCTCTTTGGTGGTTCTAACCGACATATCATGCCATCATCCCCAGCCTCCTCCTTTTGCTCTCTCTCGCTCTCAGAAACAAATAACACATACACAATACCTGCAAATCAATCCACTAAAACCCACCAGTCCACGCTGATTCCCTCGCCTCAAGCCCAAATCAAACTCCCTCTTAAACCTAACCTATCATATCCAACAAAAATTTCTCTCTCCTCCCTCAAAGTCGAACCAAACTCAACCATACTTCTCTATATCCGTCAAACAATGTATGTGTTATAGGGTTGAGCCATACTCTCTCTCTCTCTCTCTCTCTCTCTCTCTCTGATACCATTTTTAGGACTTCACAGGTAAGATAAGCCAAGAACAAGCCCATATGCTTCTCATCTCATTGTCCTTGTCTTGCCTCTAGTAGACTTATGCTCACTTTGATTACAGTCTCAGTCTCTGACATCTGTATTTGGGTTTAAATGAAATTGATTGAAGTGTTTGTTTTCATGTGTTTCTTTCAATGATGTGAGTAATTCCTTAAATGTGGCCTTCTTGTTATTCCTATATCTGTACTAGCCTCAAGCATTTTGCTTGTGTAAACTATGCTGAGATTCTCTTTTTATGTATTTAATATTTTAGAATCTTTACCAATTTGCTTCAATTTTAATTGACATGTACTTTGTTTGCCCCATTGTAGGAGCTTGGCACAGACATGAATCTTTATGCATTGGTCTTCGGGGAATCTGTTCTGAATGATGCAGTATGTTTTTGTCTTCATTACTGTTTCAACTCTTCATTGATGATTTCATCTTCTTATTGATGGAAAATTTTACTGCCGGAAATTATTTTTTTGTATGTTGCACAATTGGAAGATGGCAATTTCCTTGTACAGGTTAGCCAACTTGCATTCAGCCATTACAACTCTGAATATGATTGGAAAATTTTCTAATTGAGAGATTGTAATTTTTGTAGGACAATGTCTTTGGTAAGGAGCCATGTGTCATCTGGTCAGAATTTTGTCATGGTCATTGTCAGATTCCTCGAGACCTTTGTTGGCTCAATGTCTGCAGGTTGGTTCTTACATGTCTTTACACCAAATTATGAACTAGCCAATTTCTAATTTTTTTATCGATTACAGAAGAAAACATCAGATTCTTTATTTCTGTTCATTTTGGTTGGCAAGGAAATACCGTATAGCAATAGCTGACCTTAGAAATGTTGAAATCTGATGCGAGTGTTGTTTAAGTTGATTATACGAATTTAGGCTTGATAGTCAGGGTTGAGATATATGAGAGAGCTAGAAAAAGGANAGCAATAGCTGACCTTAGAAATGTTGAAATCTGATGCGAGTGTTGTTTAAGTTGATTATACGAATTTAGGCTTGATAGTCAGGGTTGAGATAAATATCAAATGTTTAGTTGGGTTCTCTAGCACTTATGTATATTACAGTTTACAAGGTTATTTGGATAATATAAAGCAGAAGCAGACATTTTTTTTATATTGTGAAATGAGAGTCGTCGTGAGAAATAGAAGCATATAGAGGGATTTTGTAAAACGGGAGGTACAGGCATTTTATATAGCCAAAGAGAGTCACTGGGAGAAAAAGACGCATATAGCGGGTTTTCAAAATGCTGGGTGCTAGGGCCCTCTTTGCCATGGGAATGATTTCCCCCGTGTATATGGACAAATCAAGTAAATTATTTTTATTACTATTTGGATAGAAATTGTACCTCGGAAGCACGGATACTTGCTGGGGTCGCTGTGGCAGACACGTGACTGACATTGATACGCGTGGAACACGGCCGGAAATGTGTCCGACACTTGTAGAAGTGTCTAGTACAGTAGATTTGAATTTTTCCAACTGGATACGGCTCAGATACGTTGGGGATACAGGGGGACACGACAAGGATACGACCGGGCTATTTATGTTATTTTAAAAACTTGGGGGCTAAAAAAAAAAAAAAAAAAAAAAAAAGCAAACCTACGTCATTTCTGTGGTTGAAAAAGAAAAAATAAAATGCAAAGCCAAAAGTCAAAAGGCTCAGCCTTCGACTTTTCCAGTGTGTTCGTGAGAGAGAGAGAGAAGTGGAGAATGAGGTCAAGGAGAGGACCATAGGAGGAGAAGAAGAAGAGGGAAGAGGAAGACCAACGTGCGACCAGTGACTACGACCAGCGACCTGATGCTCCAGCAGGTTTCTCTTGTTGTTTCAATTTTTTTCAGATCTGCTGCACTTCTTTTTTGTTACAATTTTCAGATCTTTTTTTGTTACTTCCTCTGGTTTGTAATGGATTTTCAAAAAATTAGATTGGGTTAGGGATTTAGGGTTTCAAAATTTGGGGGTTCAAGTAGTTGTTGTTGTGTTGTTGTTTTTTTCTGTCTTTTTGCTGTGTTACTGCCTTCTGGGTTTTTTTTTTGGTCTGTTGTGTTGCTGCCTTCTGTGCTACTGGTTTTGAATACCGAAAATTACTTGATCTATTTCAATTTAAGTAATGTTTGCTATGTCTTGGTTGTTTGTTATTATTAATGTCCTATATTTTGGGATTTTGCCGTATCCCCGTGCTGTATCGTATCGGTTATGACACCCGTGTCCATATTCGTGCTTCTTAGAATGGTACACTTCTGTACAGGATATCCCAAGTTTGCTTTCGATGAAAGCATGCTCTTACAGCTGCCCTGGCTTCATTTCATCCTTTTTAGCCTGTGTAAATGTGTACATATTTAGTTGTTACCAAGCCAATATTAAAAAAAGTGTAAATCTTTCTTTTCTGTTTTTTATTATTTTTTCTTTTTGTGGCTAACTTTGTGTACATTACTGGAGCATGAGATTATTATGCATGCATAGAAAGAGTGAGAATGGAGTATATGTTTAAACCATCAGGTGTATTATGTGATTTCTATATATTTAGGCTGAGGGCAAGTTTTTCGAGACAGTTGTCTACCTGACGCTAGATCAGCAAAATTGTCAGTTTTGTGAGTAAACTGTTGGAATTGGTAAAAAGTTGTGAATATTAAAGTGTATGAAAGGCTTAGAAAATACCTGACATTATTTAATGTGGATGTGCTACATAAACAAAGGATGCCGCTCATCAAAGCGTTATCTCAAATTTTCATTAAGGAAATAAGATGACTTAATGATATGACCCTACAAAAGTTTTCAAGCTCATTAGCACGATAATTTGCAGATTAAAAAACTCCAACTCTTTGTGCAGTATCCCTAAGAAAATTGAAGTTATACTTTCAGAAAATATTAACATGACATATTTTTATCTTTGTCCCTTAACACAATGTTGCCTTTCATACAGATTTTTCTGTTTGACTTGTATAATTCTTTTGAATGTGTCTCTATTGCAATATCTTTATATATCTCCTTTTCATAAAAAAAATTTCCTGTCGATGTCACTAAGAATGCCTTGCTCTGCCTCTACAGGTGTTGGAGTTGGATTTACTTCTGCTTTGATATCCTTTTGAATTAAATGTCATCTTTCAAACACCAACGTAAGCTTAA